AAAAAAAAAAAAAAAAACTTGTCACAGACCCTTGAACTACAAAACCGTGGCAATAAAGGCTTACAGTTCTAGAAGTTCCCCAAGTTCAAAGAGCTCGTTTCTTTCTAGTAGCCACCATTCAAAGCGTCCCCCATCTCATCTACAAAATTCTTTCAAAAAAGGAGAGTAAAAAATATTTTCTCAAGAATTAGGATCCACTTACACTCTAAAATATTATCATTTTAAGTTTTCAAAATATCACTTCAAGTTTTAAACTTTAAATAATAAAAATAGTTAGGCAAAAATTATCTTATTAACAATTTTAAAATTAATCAAATTTATAAAGAGAATTTTTAAGTAAAATTTTACAATAAAAAGAGATTTTAAAATCCTCTAAAATACCTTATTTGTCCACAAAGAGGGAGGCTTTTTTTAAAAAAAAACAAAATCTTTTTTGAACAACAAAGGAAAAGAGAGAGTTTATTTTAAAAAGTAAATAAATAGAATATTAAAGAGTTAAGTGCACATAATTAACGAGATACATGACCCGAAATGACTAAAACAAAGTTGCATATGGTGCATCCATTTTCTAATTTCCCTTTTCTTGATGATTTCATCTTATCTTTTCCTTTTGAGGAACAAAACACCTACCTAATAAATAAAAATCCCTCTTGATCTAAATTGGGTTCGTCTTGATTTATACAGAAGAATGGCAATCGGCAAGCAGAACTGAAGAACTTGTTTATCTTCCAAGATCTTTGTAGATATTGCTTGTGGAACAAAACAACCTATATCTTTCTGTTTTAATGGTGATGCCTGATGCAGTAGATGATGCATCCCTGATTAACCTACTTTTCAAATACATTAAGCCATGGACCATAACATCAAAGACAAATGGAATGATGCATTCCTCATATTCTCGAAATGCAAAATGAGGTCCAATGGAGCAATCAGCAGCATCAGTTTATCTCTCTCGTCCAATAGAAAGGATCAGAGCAGCAGATGCAACAGAAGATAACCAAAACTTTCGTGCATCTAGCTAACACCTTTCTCTGCAACGGCCACAACTCCAGCTGCTATCTAAAGGCGCCAACTCATTCCAAGGAGAGCAATGACTGTGTATTAAAAACCCACAAATCCTGCAGAGAAGATCAGGAGATGGTTCCTCGAGAAAACAAAGCCTACATTTCAGCTCGTTCACATCCGATTTCACTGGCGTTATAGGTCCCGCTTGATTACTAGAAGTGCCTACTTGACACTGTTCATTATCTCCATCTTGCAAAGCCGAGCTAAGTGGATTTTCCCATATTCTCGGAACATATGCGGGATCGGAATCATCAACCTCGTCATCACCATCATCAGATGCTAGCAGCTCATTCAAAGAGAAGTAGGTTTGGGGTTCAAACTCCATATCTTCATAGTTAAGAGTTTCATAGTCAAATAGCAGCTCACTTTCAGGGGCACTGCCAGAGACATTCCATTGTGCAAAGGGAAGTGATGGCTCCTCCTTGGGTTTCATCTGGTTGCTTGGTTCGTGAGATATGGATAATTCAGTATGAAAATGATTAGCTCCAGAAAAACCATCCTCGTCATCTTCCTGTTTCACCTGCCTCCGGACTGGAAGCTTCTTCAGTCCAATTCCAGAAGCACCGTTCCATTCCAAATCAGCTTCTGGTGCATTCTCGTTTATTTCTTCAACTTTTGAAAGAGAGAAAAGAAGATGATCATCATCAGGCATGAGGTCATCTGTTGTAAAAGTTAATGGGATGGTTGGTTTGCACTCTTTAGTTTCAGAAACGGTTCCACAATCAAAGTCAAGATCTTCAGTTTCTTGCCCTTGTTTCCGTGCCTTCGTAAACTGCTTCCTGCGCTTTTGATCCCTAAGTTCTGGATCCATGTGGGGACATTCAGGTCCCCTTATCCTACGACACTTGCAACATTTGAATCCAATCACATCAGAAATTCTTGATTCCTCAAGTTCAACGGCATCAGCATGGTACCACTCTGCAAATGATTGTAGATAATTCATCATAAAAGCAAAATTAAATAGGATCAAGAAACTCGACTTAAAAAAGAAAAGAGAACCAGCAAGTAGAGAATGCTTACTTTTGCAAGTTTCACAATGAATATATATCAACTCAGAATTATAGGGTTGTTTACAAATATGGCAGACAGGCTTCAATAAATAGTTATCTGAACCACCCCTGGGGAGAAGATTTGTAAGCCTGAAGTCAATGCCTGTCTCATTACTGTTTCTTTTCCTCCATATAACTCCCCAATGACACAACCTATTACGGGGTTTCACCATCATGCTAGAACCAGAAGCAGCATGCTTAACATCAGGACAATTTTCCTTGGTTTTTATAGAACCGTCCCCACTTCTGAGAGAGGTAAGTGGTTTTAGCAGTTGATTAGAACCTTTCACCTGTGTGGTTTTGGTGGCTGTCATTGTATTGTACCACTCTCGTCCATGCAAGAACAAGGGAGTAGTTGGAGACTTGTTACTGATATCATTTTGTGCAAGACCCTTGGCATGGGAACACAGCTCGCAAATGATGAAGTGCTCAACTTTTCCATTCACTTGAATTGAACTTAAAGTACAGTCTTTATGACAATAACCTGATCAAACCCAATCAAAGGAAATTCATTTATACAGGTTATTCAGAAAAGAGTGAAGTCATTTTGCAAATTTATATACATGTTTTGTGATTGTATCTTCAATCAGAACTCCAAAATTCTTTTTCCATTTTTGTTTGTGATTTAACAAGCAATGCCCCAGAGGTACTAATACTAATCACTAAGTTTCCTTAAATAAATATGCCCAAATAAAAGAAATCACTAAACCTTAGTAAAAAAAAAAACTGTACTTTGAGTCTGAGAAAACTGCAGATAGCAGAGACCCCTCCAACTCATAACATTTCTTAACAGAGAGTTAAAACGTAACATGAAGAGAATATCTATCTTCCAAGCCAACTAGAACAGTTTATGCAAGCAGTGCCTATAAGTCATGGAGATCGTTGAAAACCTAGCATTTCTTCTATAATAAATTGATTGGTTAAAGAATTCAAAATAGGAGCAACTCAAGTACACAAGTTATAACTAAGCAGCCTTGTGCAGTATGATAATACATTATTGATGCCATTGTGTATGTGTGTAGATTAAAACAGCTTAGAGTATATTACTTCCAGAAACCAAATAAAGCCTGGAAGACAATTACAATAAAAGTCCAATGCTTAAAAGTGGAAGGCGTGCGGTCATCATACCTTGGCATGTACTGCACGTGACTGCATTCCTGGAGATCAAACAAGAAAATAGATAAACAGGCTTGGAACAAAAAAGGAAGGGAAAACAAAAATCTAGATATTAAGAAGACAAATGATATCATAAATCATAACAAATTGAATAATTACCTCAGTAAAACATCCAATTGACACGAAGCACAAGAGCAGTTTTCCAACTTGTCTCTCTTAGACACAAGATACACAAACATATTCCTACGAGAAGCCTTCAGCTGCCTCTTTTGCAATTCAGATAGCTCTTTAGAGGGCTTCTTCACTGGTGTCAAAAGAGCTTTACCCACTTTTTCTTCATACTCTTTGATCAAATATAAAGGAATTCGTGTTTCATGAAGCCAATACTTGTCCATTCCATCACCATTTTGATCAATGTTAATTATATTCTTCATAACACGTGATGGAAGATGCTTTTGATTGCCAAAAGCAATGCCATATACGATCTTGTTTTCCACAATTTTTTTATCGCAAATAGTCGCGTTTCTGAAAACAGAGGCTTCTGTCTCTACACCTTTTCCATCCTGGGGATTCTGCTCAGGACGAACAAGATCATTCCATCTCACATGAAGGTCTAGGTATCTAACCTGATACAAAATTGAACTAGATTTTACAAAGTTATATAACTATAAACCCCTTAGGAAAATATAATATGCTGCCAGAACCAGAATTGTTGCAGCAAAATCATGAAAATAAACCAACCTGAAGAGCAAGCTGTGATAAATTCCTACTTCTTTCAACAGCAGCTCTCCAAAGTAATTGTCTGTTTCTTTTAGGAATCTCAGAACCATCAATATAACTAACACCAGCAATCTTTGTAACACCACCTAACAAATTATTAGAAAATAATAATATTATCAATATCTTTCTCTTTCAACAAATTTAACACTGTAAATTGCAGTTTAAACTTTCATTTATTACATATTCAGAGAAGATACCTCCCCTTGCTGCCTTTTTAACCATTGAGCATGGCAAAATTGCTTTCTGGAATATATGATTTGTTAACCTCCCACCTCGCCACCAGGTAACACTTGTATCATCTGAGTCATCAGCTGAAATTTCACATGTACCAGACAGTTTCTTAGATCGCCTACCCAGTCCTCGTTTCTGCATTAGACCTGAAGTGGATGTAGTGCTTTCCATCATTGAAGATTCAACCATCCAATCATCCATTAGCTTAACCCAGTCCGTAGAGAGAGCAAGGATGGGGATGTTTTTCTCAAGCTGCACGCAAGCACATCCAAATGATAACAAGTGCATTACAATCTATCCCTGATACAGAATCTGAATACTTGAAAGAGGATGAAAGGGTCATTTCCATCAGTAAGGTCCCTATCTTGTAGGACAGGAGTGAACTCCAGACCTTAGAACATCTACTACTGGCTGATCGTTTCTGATGGTCTAGTCACTAAAGTTTCATTCATTAGCCTTAGTACTCTGAAGGAAGAGGGTCACAAGATTTCACTGATTATATTCATCACAAAAGCAATTGTTGTGTGTTCTAAAACAAAATGTAGAGATGGAAATTTTTGCAAAAGATACACAATGAACATAAATGAGCAAAACGTAGTGAACTCCCCAAACATGCAATAAGAGTTTCATAAATACCTGTTCAGAATTCCACAGAGGTTTCTTCTAGGACACCAATTTCTTCTAATAAAGCACCCAACTTTTTATTCTAATAGATTACATGTTTCCATTAAAAATTAAATTTTATAAATTCACATGATAAATTTAAAGTTGCTAACTTTATTTTTGACAGAATATAACATGAAGTCTTGAGAAAGGGAAAAGGACACCTCAAATAAAAAGAATGACAAAATGGACATTGGACGGGAGCTTCATCAGGAAAAAGAGATAATTTGCTAAGCCAGCTTTGACAGCATGCATGCAAGTACTTAAGAAAAAATATTAAGAAAAAATAATAAATACATAAATAATGGTGAAAGGATAAAACTCACTTCAAGCAAACAGACTTTCATTGCACTAAATGTTGAAGCATCTTCCAGTTTTTTACGCCATTGTTTCTTGTAACTTTGATTAAGGAATGGGCCAGCCACAAGACCACATAAACTCTCTTCCATGTATAAAATGTAAGTTGCAATGCAGGGAAGGCTTCCATCTTTATTTTTAATAGGAGGAAGACCATTGAGGATCTCTTTAGCACTTTTTGTAGCACTAGAGACAGCAGAGTTTAACATGCAACCTCTTTTACATTCCTTGCAAGAATGGCACCAACCACACCTCTCTCTCAGAGCTTCTATAGACTTCTTTTCAACACTCGGCCAGAAAAAACGCGAGGCTATTGATGAGAATGCTTTCGCTTGCAGGGAGAAGTCACTGGTTGACATAAATTTTCTGGTACTGCCTGATCTGTTAACCCCAGCAACCTGGCTTTCCTCTGATGAAAGAATGGCCAGCTTAGCGGCAGCAACTGCAGCAATTTCCCCATGATTATAGTGATTCACATAAGCCTGAGGTTTGTAGGATAGCCCCATGTATGTAGAGTCAGTAACAGTAACTGAAATTTTCATGTCACTTCCAAAATCTAATTGTTTGTCTGCTTTGCTTTGGTGGGATCCACTTCCTCCTAAATTTTTGTCATTTATAAGTCCCAGGTAACTGCCACTGATTTTTCCACAAGTAGGTGTTGCAAGGTCTATCATGGTTGATCTGTCAACCAAACTTTGGTAAGTTACATCAGATGTGCCTGCCTGCTGCCTAACAGAACCAGCAGACATAGCAGGCTCAACATTACTCTTCACAGATAGTTTGATAACAGGAAGGCCAGTATGATTCATCATATCCACTGAGGAGTTCACATATGAAACTCTTTCATTATCTGCATTTGCATTAAAACTACTTGTGTTCTCTGCATCAACTATATCTGGAAATTTGCAACTTCCGTTACCAGGAGGCAGAAGATATGCAGCAGGATTTTCATCTTTCTTCAGAGTCTCTACATTGCTACCTGGTTCAATAGTTTCCATGGGAAAACAGATGCTATCTGGGAGATTCCAGTACTTCATAATTGCCTTGCATATACCTAAGTACTGTTGCTCACAATGAATCAACGAGGAAAGCACCTTGAGGACTTTTGGAATGTCATTCAGGTTGTAATATCTTAGATATGGGTCCAAGTTGATGGAGGCCTTGAGCCTGCAAATTACATTTTGAAAAATAATATGAGATGGACACAATGAAGAGCTAATGAAAAAGACAGGACTAGTATTGCATAAAGAAAAAACTAGCTAGCAAATTCATATCTAAAGCTAGCAGACATGAACTGGCAAGAAGATAATAATGAACGGATTTCAATTTAAACAGGAGAAAGCAATTAAAAAGAGAAAGAAAGGTTTTGAAAACTTACACCAGTAGGTGATTGCAAGTACCGAAAAAGGCATGCCCATGGAAATCAAAGCCAAATAGTTCTGCTCCTCTAAGTGATGTTCCCACAGTAATAAAGGGTCCAATCTTATTAGCTGTGCATTCCGGACAATACCATGAACCATCTGGGATATACATTTTCATGACACCTATGCATCTCGAATGATATGCTGATGGGCATCCATCACAACAAAGCAGTGTCCCATCCATGCCACAAAGGCGACATTCATCACTGTTTGCATCTAGATTGACATCAACAGCATTTGATCTTACTTGATTACCTTTAAAACCAAAATCACCAAAATATGTTGATTTGCAAGATGAATTTAACTCATGGATTCCAGAAATCATTTCCATAGTCTCTTTTTCCTTGCAGGCTGAAGTTTTGGAAAATCTTAAATAAACTCTTCTTGGTCCATTCTCAGGATTATTGATTGGAACTGCATCAGGATCAATTCCCACTTCTGACTCCTCACGCATATCAATTTCAGCTCTTAGCTCCACAGATTCTAAGACATCATCACATAGGAATTGCAGATTCATCAACTTTCTACCCACAGGTAAGGAGTAGTATTCTCCCTTCGAGACATCTTTACAAAATCCTTGCCAGTCAGGTCCTTTAATGTACCCCATCACTGTAATATACTGGATCAAATAAACAGGCCAAGTCAGTGTGTCGAGCAAGCTCCAATCATGGTTCCTGCAGATAGAATATGAAGAATGATTCTGAATATTTATTGATGGGAATTAAAAACAGAATATTATAAAAATGCATGTATTTTCTTCTTCCTTCCCTATATTTTGGTTGTGGGTGAAGCAAGACCCATTAGAACATCAGTTTTAAAGTATAGATAAAAAGGGAAATAACTCTGGCTGCTTTGATAAGGAGAAGAAATAACTGGGAAGATTGATATGCAACTTTACCTTTTTCTTTTCTCAGGCAAAGAAAAACACAAATTATTGATTCCCTATTTTAAGGGATTAGGGCCAAAATGATTATAAAAAAAAATACCAATCCTCACATTTTTTGAGCAATAGAAATAGACTGCATGATAAATCGGGGAAGAGACTTTTTGCCAATCAGATACCCCATCTCAAAACCATCAAAATTGTTGAGAAATATGTGACATCACAACCATAGCTGATGAGAAATGAATGTGTATATATACCTCACACATTTTAATGCTTGCTCAGAGCCTTCAGAAGAGAGTGATTCAAGACGATGTCGCAATGCTCGCAGCAAAGCAAAATGTACAGCATCCAATAAAGTGTTTGGGGCAGAACAATTCAGTGCCCCCACAAACTCATCCAATCCAAATGGACAGAGAAACAATTGGATACTAAATGACCTTAAAAAACCATACACAGTAAATAGATGCGAAACATACTCTTCTGGTACACCTATGGTTCCAGAAGAGGATGGCAACTCTGGGCGTGGTACAGGTGGAGCTTCAGCCTCTGGAGTCATGTCCCAATCGTATACATGTTCACATGAATCACTTGAAGAACCTGCATCATCTTCTACTTGCTCCTCAGCATTCTCAACTGTGAATGCACCACTCAAATCACTCAATGTAGAAATGGCATCCGCATCTACAACATTTTTTGAATCCTCCACTTTCTTGTCTAAATCATCAACATTCATCTTCTTTGAAATCTTTTCAAGAATTAGTTCATCCAATCTTTTCTTTTTTTGAATCAACCCATCATCGAAATATGCATCGTCCAAAATTAGGTACCGAAGCTGAGTGCTGTCTAGTTCTTCACAGTTACCATCTTCATATTCAACTCTATACAATCCAGTATCATAAGAAACAATCTTCCCTAAAAAAACCCTACTACGCGAGAACTCTTTCAACACATATCGACCCACCAATGCAATAGATCTTATCTCCACTGCAAACATTTTGTTTCGGGAATTTGATTTTGCATCAATTCTTTCATCCTCTGGACTTCGCCGTTTCCTCGGCCTGCCTCTCGGTCTCGGCACCTTAGACTCCATTGATCAATCAAAACAGATCGAAACGACCCCGTCCCCGTGGATTGACTAAAAAACTGGCTTCCAAAAGATTTCTCTCTGGTCTTCAACAACTGAGTGCTTAGTTTCCGATTCTCAAAGATCTAGGGTTTCTGCTGAATCTATCAAAATCCAAAAAAAAAAAAAAAACCGATGAAGAACTGTGTTCTCAGTGATGAATTGCAATCAGTTTTTCCAATTATTCTCTTTTTTTGGGAAATTAAAAGGTGATTATACAAATACATTAAAAAGAGAAAGAGAGAGAATGGATTGAAGGAGATACCTTGCTAGGGTTTGATAAGCGCCATTGAAGATGTCTCTGAGAGATGAGAGATGCAGAGAATAGCAGTAACACTAGTCGAGATTCACAGACTCTTTTATTGCGTCTAACATTATGACTTAACTCGGAAACTCGGCCCAATGGGTCGCGATTCCAACACGGCGAGTTGCTGTTAACCAAAAGTATTTTTCATGAAAATCATTTTTGTCTTTATTATTATTTCTCGAAAACACATGGGTTTAATATCTTTTCTCAAAAATAAGAATGAGAACATCATCTTATAAAATTGAAA